TGCGGGACTCGATCCAGGGACTCCAGGATCATGACCTGAGCCGAAGGCAGTCGCTCAACCAACTGAGCCACCCAGGCGCCCCTTAACTGACTTTTATAGAGCACAGGCTTTTGGGTTTTTTTTTTTTAATGGATTAAAAACAAAATTTTTTCAAAGAAACTTTATTTTTTTAGAGCAGTTTTAGGTTCACAGCAAAATTGAGCAGAAGATACAGAGATTTCCTGTATGCTCCCTGCCCCACACATGCACAGCCTCCCCCGTTATCAACACTGCCTCCCGCAACCAGAGTGATCCATCCGTTATAATTGATGAAGCTATATTGACACATCATGATCCCCCAAATCCATAGTTTACAGTAGGGCTTACTCTTGGTGGTATACAATCTGTAGGTCTGGACAAATGTGCAACGACATGTATATATTTATATTATTGTATCATATAGTCGTTTCACTGCCCTTAAAAGCCTTTGTGTTCTGCCTCTTCATCCCTCGTTGGTATCTTTTTAAAGCTCCCACGTTGATTCTCATTTGCAGCCAGGGTTGAGGATCACTGACTGGTTGATTTTTAAGGCTCCTTCCAGCTTTAATGTTTTATCATTCTAAAATATTTTGTTTTTGCCCTGCCCCCGGGGATTAGTGCTGATTTGGATGACTGCTTTGAGAAATATAGAAACTGCCCATGAGCCACAACCTTTAAAAAATGGCTTCTAAACCCTTTTTCCATTTCAGCATATCTGAGGCATCCCATACAGCCTGCTGTAACAGTGACTCAATTCAGCAGTGATTCACAACTGGGGGGTTAGGACTGTCAGACTCTCCCCGGGAGTGGGTATTGTTTGAAAAAATTCCTCAGGTGTTTCTGGTGGTTGGTGGAGGAAGAATGGGGCAGGGTGAGGGATGGTAGTTAATCCTACTCAAGTAAGAATTTAAAACAAAAATACAACCACAGTCTAGGTCATTAGTAGTCAAACTTGATTGTGCATGAAAATCACATAGAAAGGTCACTAAAACTTCAGGTTTATGTGCCCTGTTCCCAGACATTCTGATTCTCTAAGTCTGAGGTTTAGCAATCTGCACTTTTTTCTTTTTTTTTTAAGATTTTATTTATTTTAGAGAGAGAGGAAGGAGAAGGACAGAGTGGGAGGGAGAGAGAAAACGGAGAGAATTCCACGCAGACTCCATACTGAGCATGGAGCCCAACACTGGGCTCGATCTCACAACCCTGAAATCCTGACCTGAGCCAAAACCAAGAGTTGAATGCTTAAGCAACTGAGCCACCCAGGTGCCCCAGAAATCTACTTCGTTAAAAGTACTCCTAAAGGGGTGCCTGGGTGGCTCAGTTGGTTAAGTGGCTGCCTTCGGCTCAGGTCATGATCCTGGGGTCCTGGGATTGAGCCCCACGTCTGGCTCCCTGCTCAGCAGAGAGCCCGCTTCTCCCTCTCCCTCTGCCTGCCACTCTGCCTACTTGTGTTCTCTATCTCTTGGTCAAATAAATAAATAAAAAATCTTAAAAAAATAAAATAAATAAAAGCACTCCTAGAGAATTCTGAGGCAGATGCTAAAGGGTCCACACTTTGGGAAATCTGGATTCTCAAATACTTAGCTGCTTGTGAACAGGAACTCAGTAATATTTTGGTATTTCTAGGCCTTAAAAAAACCAGTCTAAGAGTCAAGAAAAAACAAATGCTGATGTGAATGTGGCAAAAAGAGAAGCCTTGTGTACTGTTGGTGGAAATGCACATTGGTGCAGCCACTATGGAAGAGAGTATGGAGATTCCTCAAGAAATTAAAAATAGAATTTCCATATGATCCAGCAATCCCACTTCTGGGTATATATCCAAAGGAAATGAAAATAGAATCTCAAAGAGATATCTGCAACCCCCCTGTTCACTGCAGCATTATTTACAATAGCCAACCGTGGAAGCAACCTGAGTATCCATTGACGGATGAATGGATAAAGAAAATGTGGTGTGTATGTATGCAATGGAATATTATTCAGCCATATACATGGAGATCTTACCATTTGTGACAACATGAATGAACTTTAAGGTCATTAAGCAAAGTGACATAAATCAGTCAGAGAAAGGTAGATACCCTATGATCTCACTTACATGTGGTATCAAAAAAGCCAAACTCGGGGCACCTGGGAGGCTCAGTTGGTTAAGTGTCTGCCTTCAGCTCAGGTCATGATTTCAAGGTCCTGGGATCGAGCCCCACATCAGGCTTCCTGCTCGCAAGGAACCTGCTTCTCCCTCTCCTCCCTGCCCGTGCTCTCTCTCACTCGCTCTCTCTCTCAAACAAAATCTTTAAAAAAAAAAAAAAAAGCCAAACTCATAGAAACAGTGTAGAATGGTAAATTCCAAGGGCTGGGAGGTGGGGGAAATGAGGAGATGGTGATCAGAGAGTACAAACTTTCAGTCAAAAGATGAGTAAGTTCTGAGGATCTAATGTACAGCATGGTGACTATAATTAACAATAGTGTATCATATACTTGGAAGTTGCGGAGATTTTAAGTGTTCTCACCACCACCACCACACACATACACACACAAAATGGTACTTATGTGAGATGATGGATGTGTTCACTAACCTTACTGTGGCGATCATAATCATTTTACAGTGTATATGTGTATTAAATCATCAGCTTGTTCACCTTAAACTTACATGATGTTGTTTGTCAATTATAGCTCAAAAAAGTTGGAGACAAAATAAAGACCAGAAAATGCTGCGTAATGTGATAATATGTACTTCCTCGTGAGAGTCCATTTTTGCATTGATATTCTTACCTTATAAAAAGAACTGCTGAATCAGTGGAGTATCAGGGTGGGGGGTGGGAGATTGTTGTTTTTGTTTTGTTTTTTTATTTTGGGGTTTTTTTTTTTTTAGCCTTCATAAGATACTAGAATTGAGCTTTATTTTCCACATATCAGTTGTCTTATATCACACACCCACTCACAACTTTCCTACCCTGACCAAATTCCAGTTACCAAACCTCATGAATCACAGCTTCTATTTCACTGCCACAGATGCTGTAAAATGATAGGCAAATATCTTAAAGCTAATGGTGGCAGGTTTTGTCATGAATAATGCATAGGCATATATTATAAACTGAGTGAAAGTGGATATTTTACTCTTATTTTCCTTTTATTTTCATTACCATTACAGGTCCAGTATGGAATTTTTCCAGATAACTTTACATTCAATTTACTGATGGATTATTTCATAAAGAACGAAAATTACAAAGGTAAGAAACCAAACCCGGGTCCATTTATAATAGGGCTTCAGCTCCTAAAGGGAAGTAAATATGGGCAATTTCCCTTATTTTATTTTGTAATGACATCTCTTTATATCACTCTTTCTGTCAGAAATAGATGTGTGGTTGATTTACCATACCACTTGGCCATATAGGACAATCATATCCAGGTTTTTTTTCCTCTGAGTTTCTCAAGTTTATTTGTTCATGCCTCCTTGTGCAAAGGACAGTGAATTTAGTTAAGCAGTAAACCTGCCTGAGCTTCCATGGCTGGTTAAGATTATGGTAATGCAATTATTAGCTTGACTTTTTTTAGTATCGTTTGCTAACTTTGTTTAATTTAAATCACAGTTGTTACTCTGTGTGAAATATAAGACTATAAAATCAGTTGATTTCCTGGAAAGAGCAGTACCCTTGCTATGAAGAAAAGTCCTTTTACCTCCCCAGGCTCTTGTTTCCTCATCTGTAAAATAAGTGAATGGGTAATCTCTGAGATCTCTCTCTCTCTTTTTTTTTTATTAACATATAATGTATTGTTTGTTTCAGGGGTACAGGTCTTAACACAATTCACAGCACTCACCATAGCACATACTGTCCCCAGTATCCATCACCAAGCCACTCCATCCCTCCCACCCCCCCTCCACTCCAGCAACCCTCAGTTTGTTTCCTGAGATTAAGAGTCTCTTATGTCTCCCACTCTGGTTTCCTCTTGTTTCATTTTTCTCTCCCTTCCCCTATGATCCTCTGTCTTGTTTCTCAAATTCCTCGTATCAGTGAGATCATATGGTACTTGTCTTTTCTCTGATTGACTTATTACGCTCAGTGTAATACCCTCTAGTTCCATCCACATCATTGCAAATGGCAAGATTTCAATTTTTTGATGGCTGTGTAATATTCCATTGTATATATATACCACATCTTCTTTATCCATTCATCTGTTGATGGACATCTTGGCTCTTTCCATAGTTTGGCTATTGTGGACATTGCTGCCATAAACATTGGGGTGCACTTGCCCCTCTGGGTCACTACATTTGTATCTTTGGGGTAACTACCCAGTAGTGTAATTGCTGGGTCGTAGGGTAGCTCTATTTTCAACCTTTTGAGGAACCTCCATACTGTTTTCCAGAGTGGCTACACCAGCTTGCATTTCCACCAACAGTGTAAGAGGGACTTGAAAGACTAATTTTAGCCATTCTGACTGGTGTGAGGTGGTATTTCATTGAGGTTTTGATTTTATTTCCCTGATGCCAATTGATGTTGAGCACTTTTTCATGTGTCTGTTGGCCATTTGCATGTCTTCTTTGCAGAAATGTCTGTTCATGTCTTCTGCCCATTTCTTGATTGGATTATTTGTTCTTTGGGTGTTGAGTTTGATAAATTCTTTATAGATTTTTGGATACTAGCCCTTTATCTGATATGTCATTTGCAAATATCTTCTCCCATTCTGTCAGTTGCCTTTTGGTTTTGTCTACTGTTTCCTGGGCAGAAGCTTTTTATCTTTTTTTTTTTTAAGATTTTTATTTATTTATTGAGAGAGAGAGAGCATGAGAGGGAGGAGGGTCAGAGGGAGAAGCAGACCCCCTGCCGAGCAGGGAGCCCGATGCGGGACTCCATCCCAGGACTCCAGGATCATGACCTGAGCCGAAGGCAGTCGCTTAACCAACTGAGCCACCCAGGCGCCCCAGAAGCTTTTTATCTTGTTGAAGTCCCAATAGTTCATTTTTGCCCTTGCTTCCCTTGCCTTTGGCGATGTTTCTAGGAAGAAGTTGCTGTGGCTAAGGTTAAAGAGGTTGCTGCCTGTGTTCTCCTCAAGGATTTTGATGGATTCCTGTCTCACATTTAGGTCTTTTATCCATTTTGAGTCTGTTTTTGTGTGTGGTGTAAGGAAATGGCTCAGTTTCATTCTTCTGTCTGAGATTTCTTTACCCCCGAAATTCCTTGATCCTGTGCAGTTAATTTGAAGTGACTTTTCTTCACTTCCACTACCATAAGGTAGTCCAAGGAAAGATGGAGGTCGCAGCAGACTGACTGTACAGAGGAGTCTGGTGGACCCCGGCCAATGTCCGTGGGTTAGGGAATCTTATGACAGCATGCTTGTGCTCGTGGCTGTGCTGACAGTGAAGAAGGAAGGAGGAGCCTTGCCACTGTGTAAAGACACACACTGGCTTTCCCTTTCCCCCATTTCATCCTCAGGCTTGGTACTGAGGAGCCACGGGGGAGCTATGTTAGGGTAGTTACTACCTCAGGAACATGGATATGGACTGGTGGGCACTTACACGTTTATGACATCTGAGATTCCTGCCATTGGGTTCCATCCCCTCATCCCTGCACACCGCACCAATGGCCTTTCCCACTGCATCCGCACTCAGTGTTTAGGCGAGGGACAGGGCCTTCCTGCCCTGATGTGGCCACCTCTCCCCTTTGTCTCCTCTGGATCTCTGCTTTATCTTCTCTCTCAGAAGGCTTGCAGTTGTTGACTGCTGAAGAATATTTGCTGTATATTATTTTTTGAAATGTCAGTTATCCCTTCTTGTCTATTTCTTATTCAGTTTTAAACCTACATTTCCTGAATTCAAGTGAAAGGGAATTAGCTTTTGTATGTTTCTGAATCTGTGCTCCATGAACATCAGATTTAATAGTGCATCATTGGAGAATTATTAGAAGCAGTTTTCTCCCTGCCCTCTCTCTTTAAAGGGCATGGTGGAAGGGTCACAGGACTTTTTTTTCCCTAAATGCAGAGTAAATATTTAATATTGAGGATTTCTAAAAATAAAGTTTTAATGAAGATTATTATCATTTATGGCAAAAATTTAGAAAGTGTTATACTTTTTATTGTTACTGGGATAGGAAATATCAAAGTACATAAATGAATATGGAGGAAAAGTTAATTAATTATACAGGGTAATCTGATTTCACTTCCCAAGCTGAATGAAATGCAGAATATAAGTAAAAGATAAAGTAAGTTTGATTCATTTTTCATGTTTAATTTTGGATTCAGCAATGAACAGTTGAAAAACCAGATTTTTTTTAAACTGGATTTTTTAGCTTTAAATTGTGTTCTTTTAAAATACTGGTTTGTTTAGGGTTGTTGTTTGTTTGTTTTAAATCTCTTCTAGATCCTTATTTGCTACTGATTATAGTAGATGACTTTCTGGTCTATCTGAGTTTCCCCATTTGGAAAAAGAATATAGAAGTTCTTGCCTATGGCCTCATTTAAAACCATGACAACATACACAAAGCCAGCTGGTTAGGAACAGCTGCGAGTCGGTGCGAACTCTTATAATTATGATTATATGCAAAAATTGGTTAACACAGCAACTTAGTTAGTCAAAAACATTTGTTGTGCCTGTTTTATGTGCTGGCACCATATTTTAAACCAATATTAACATTCTCTAATTTAACAACAAATATTAAGGAAAAGAAATTGTCTGAACTTGATTTTCTTGGCTTCCATCTATGTTGTGGAATTTTAAGGGAAAGGAAAAATTGCTCAAGATCTGATCTGCTGTGATCAGCATTCATGTGTCAACAAACACCTTACATTGTATTTTACAGTCAGGGGTTTATCATTTATGAACGAGCATTTTCCTTTACAGTCTTGCAAGTATTTTTAAACTGAGCCTGATTATCCTTTTTATAGTCATCAGTTTTCTGTCTCTGAAATGATACCTGGGATTTAGGATCGTCTCTAGCATTTGTCTTCATTTGCCCCAGCACGGAGAAGGTTCCAGAACACAGAATGGGGCAGTCAGCCCAGCTTCTGCTCTGCTTGTCAGGGTGACCTGGAAAATATATTTGCCTCCTTTCTGTATACCTTAGCTCTTCCAGCTGATGGATGTGATGGGTTAAATTTGCTTCACAATTTATGAGGCATTTTTGTATGTACTATCTTGATGGAGTGTCCAGTAGTCTTTTTTTTTTTTTTTAAGATTTTATTTTTTATTAGAGAGAGCAAGCATGAGCTGGGGGGAGAGGCAGATGGAGAGGGAGAGGCAGACTCCCCACTGAGCAGGGATCCCAATGCGGGGCTCGATCCTAGAACCCTGAGAGATCCTGACCTGAGCCGAAGGCAGATGCTTAACTGACTGGGCCACCCAGGTGCCCCTCTCCCATAGTCTTTTGAAGTAGATGGGACAAATGGTATTTTTTTATCATCATGAGGATGATACTGGGAGAAGTTGAGAAATTAAGTGGATTATTCCATGTCCTTGAGAACATTGGTGCAAAAGCGCCAGACTTAGTACATAATAGTAAATACAACAGAAGCTAAAGACTTGAGAAAGATCTAGTTTATGGAAGAACTGGGATCAGAGCTCACATTTTTTTGCTTCTTAATTCTGTTTGTTTTTCTATCATGCCCCACTTTTTAAGTTTATAGTTAAATACAGATTTGGTGATGTTACCTAAAACTAATTCCCTCTCATTTTTACTTTGATCTTTTTGCCAGATGCTTTATCTGTGGTTTTTGAGATCATGATGCAAGAAGCCTTTGAAGTACCTTCCACCCAGCTTCTGTCACTCCATGTTTTATACCATTGCCTGGCCAAGAAGACAGACTGCAGCGTAAGTGACAGGCGGTACAGTGGTACTGAGAGCCCGAGAAGCCCACGGTGCCTCTTCAGCAGGGAGGAGGTGGCTGGAGGAGACCTCAAAATCTGGACATGCGGCCCTATGGCCCCCGAACAGCCAGGAATGAGTGCTCCTTCTGTACATTTTAGTTTCCAGTTTCTGACAGAGTGGACCTGGATTCCACTTGAAAGAATCTCAAGTGAAAGTCCTTATGCACATTTTGAAAGTTGAGCTAGGCTGAATGCCCCTCAGACATTCAGAAATGGGTACCTGATCATCAGTGACAGTTGGACTTGCATATCAAAGAAGCAGAGAGGCAGCTAACTGACCACAACCTCAGGCATTCAATGCCGATTGTTCAGTTGGCATCAGTATTTTCCTGACATTGCTCTGGTCAGTCCAGAATACCAAGTTTTGGTTTCTTCTCTTAGGTTAGTCTCTTTAATAATTGTTTACTGTTACCCTAAGAATAACAACAGTAATAACTAATATTTAAATAGTACCTACTTTACACCAGGCTGTGTTCTTGGTGTCTTAAACTTATTAATGTATTTAATCCTCACAGTTCTATGTGGATGAGAAGACTGGAGCACAGAGATGTTACATAATAGCTGCCAGGCTCATAAGGGACAAAGCCACCTTGGGAAGCCAGGCAGCCTGGGCCTGCAGTCTACCACAACTTCAGTACCTCAACTTCAAATGTAACATCAAAAAATACTAGTTTGCATAGGAACTGAAAAGGATATCTAACCCAGCTCATGTTCAAAAGAATTTATGGTCTGTTTTGCTTTTCTAAAATGAGGGTCATAGGGCGCCTGGGTGGCTCAGTCGTTAAGCGTCTGCCTTCGACTCAGGTCATGATCCCAGGGTCCTGGGATCGAGCCCCGCATCGGGCTCCCTGCTCTGCGGGAAGCCTGCTTCT